GTTTACACACCTATAATATTCAATAACGGAACTTAAAAAAAATGAGGTATAACTATGAATGTCCATTTTGTATCTGTGTATTCAAAGTGGTTGGGATAGATATATAGTTGCATTCTCTTAATGAATAGAATGATTTTTTCTAATGGTGTTTGTAAATAGGATCACAAGTCTGCATCTTGTACAGCAATTAACCACTAAGAAGAATATATGCAGTGTATTATTTGTTGAAACTGTACTTTCGATTTGATTTGAAACTGTCTCATTGCTATATGTTTATCAATAAAACTTTGGAAAAAAAAATTCTGAGACAAGTCTTGCTAAGTTACGAACTTGCCCAGGCTTGGCTCAAACTTGCCATCCTTCCGCCTCAGAGCCTCCAGGAATGCTGGGCTCACAGATGTGCACAGCTATGCCTGGCCCTGCTGGTTTCTAGTAGAAGTTGTTTTTTTTTTTTTTTTTTACCTTGTTAATGGAGGCTTGGGTCTCCAATTTTTGCTCTAGAAAGCAGGACTGCAATGAATGTCCTTAGGGCTGTCACCGTGGTCTACTCCCCAGAATGATAATGGTCGTTTTACAGGTGAAAGTTACTTTGAACTCAGGATTTTGGGTGAATGTTTCTAGGTTAGAGAGCTTCAGTTGAATTGCTGGATCATAGAGCATGCAGGATTTTACTTTGTAATTAGGTTGTGACCTTGCTTTTCTGAAGGGGCTGGTTGGTCTGTCCTTCCTGTCTTGCTTCCTTTATGAGGACTTCCTTAGAGCCTCAGCCAGAGGCGCTGAGGTCTTTGTGTTTCCTCTCCTCATTCTTCCTGCTACCTCATCTACACTGGAAACTTGTTATGTTATGTTATGTTATGTTATGTTATGTTATGTTATGTTATGTTATGTTATGTTATGTTATGTTATGTTGTTGTTGTTAAAACCCTGGGGGTGGAACTCAGGGTCTTTGTACTCAGCTATATCCCCGTCCTTTTTAAACTTTTTTCTTTGGAGACTTACTTGCTAAATTGCCCAGGCTGAGCTTGAGGTGGCTTACCTCTTGCCTTCAGCCTCCCAGAGTGTGTTGTTGGCATTGTAGGTGTGCATCACAAATCCTGGCTGGGAACTTTTTGATTGAGGCTTTTTTTTTTTTGTGTGCGAGTGGTACTGGGGATCTAACTTGGGACCTTGCACTGGCCAGCCAGGCACTTAAGCCACTGAACTATATCCATGGCATGAGACATTTTTTAATTTTTTTTTTTTTTTGAGACTTTAAAAAAAAATTTACGTTTATTGGTACATTTTAAGTATATAGGGGTCAGGAGATAGCTCAGTAGAATAAGTGCCTGCCTGGCCAGCACAGGGTCCTGAGTTAAATCCCCAGTACCACAAAAATAAAAAAGTAAATAAAGTATACATAATTATATTCAACATAGGGAATTTGTACCTGTACGTGACATAACTTGTTCTTCCTCCATTCTTCCACTCTCCCTTTAGTCCACCTTCACCTCCCCGTTTACAAAAGCCGTGTTTCCATTTTTTCTTTTCTCATCATTTCTTTCTTTCCCCTGCCTTCCTTTCCCTTCCTTCTCTTTCATTTCCCATCCTTCTCGAACATTTCCTTCTTTTTCACAATGTTTATTATACATTTGGGTCCTTATTTACACTTTCCGTTTCTCACACCAGAGAAACAATGTGGTGTGTTTGTCTGACTTCACTTTTAAGGGCTTTTGAGACAGGGTCTCCTTAGGGTAAGGAGCCCAGACTGGCCCAGAACTGGCTGCCATCTTCTTGCCTCAGCCTCCCGAGTGCTAGGATTACAGGCCAACACCAACATGGCCAGTTTCTCATTTAAGATGTTGAGTAAGTTGTATTTGTATTAAGTAAATATTTAAAAAAAGAGCAAGGTCTTCTAATTTCTGTCCTCCTACTGATTTCTTATTAGCTTTTCAGAGTTATGTGAAACATGCAAACAAATAAATGTATATTCTTTTTTCCCACTTGATTTTATACTAGTTTAAAAATATGGTGGGCATGGTGGTGCATGCTTGGAGCCTCAGCCCTCTGGAGGCTGAGGCAGGAGGACTGCTGAGTTCAAAGCCAGCCTGGGCTACATAGTGAGAAGAGCCTATCATTAAAAACATCAAAAGGAGGAAAAAGGAAAAATGAAAAATAAAAAAGCTATTAGCCTGCCATGGCAGTGCATGCGTGTAATGCTAGTCCTCAGGAGCCTGAGGCAGCAGGATTGCAAATATCAGGCCTGCTGGGTTATTGAGCAAGACTCTTAAAATCCCCAGATCCCAAAAGAAGGTTTATACTAACTGTAATGCACCATACCTCATTTTAAGGCTTGCTTTTTGCACTTAATATATCACAGACATCCTTCTATTAGGATGTAAGCATCTTTTATTTCTTTTTATAGATACATAGATTTATTAAACTAGCCCCTTACTCATGGACTTTCGTTCTTGAGACAGCCAATGTAGCAGGCTAGCCTTGAACTTCTGTGATTCTCCTGCCTCAGCCTCCCAAGCCTGGGGATTATGGACATGTTCCAGCATACCCTGCTTATGGACATTTGTTTATAATCTTTTGCTCTAAGAAAAAGGTACATATGCTTTTAGGTGCTCTCATAATACATATGATTCCATAGGATAAGTTATTAGAAATGAAATTTCTGGGCCAATGAGTGTGTGCATATGTAGTTTTTAAAAACTGAGGTGAAAGTCACGAACAAAATTGACCATTTAAAAGTGAATGGCTGGCCATGGTGGCATACCCATCCTTGGGAGACTGCAGCAAGAAGATAGCTGTGAGTTCAAGACCAGCCTGAACCACGTGGTGAGACCATGTCAAGAAAACAAAAGGAACCAAAAAACAGCGAAAGTGAATGACGTGTCATGGCATTTAGTGTATTCATAGTGTTACTGCATATAATGCAGTATAATTCTGGAATTGCCATCATTCCAGAGTGAACCTTGGCACCCAAGAAGGTTACTCTCCTTTCTGTTTTTCTCCTGCTCCGCATTTGTGAGTGTTTTCCTCTCTCCCTTCCCTTCCGACCTTACCCCCTTCCCTCTTCTCCTTTTCATCTTTCTTCTGGTATAGCCTCATTTTGTTGTGCAGAACTTCTGGGCTCAAGGGATCCTCTTTCCTTGACCACCCAGGTAGCCGGGACTGTACCTGTATACCATTGCTTCGAGCTTGCGTTTCATTTAAGTAACGTCGTACCACATGTGGCATTTTGGGTCTCCATTCTCCTGCCTCAGCTTCCCAGAGTGCTAGGATCAGTCTGGCTGGAGCTATACTCTTAAATAAGAGACCCATGGCTGCTGTGCTGGATTTTGTGTTCTTTTGGGGAAACATTATATAAATGATAAGTATATCTTACAGTTATGACCCATACATAGGGGAAAATAAAGCAGGATATCACTATAACAGGTGGGGGTCTGCTTCTGTAGAAAGCTGAGGGGGGAATTAGAATGTAGCTTGGTGGTAGACCACTTAACTTCATGTCAGAGGTTGTAGCCCCATCACTTGGAAAAAAAGAAAAGCCAGGCACAGTGACTCACACCTGTAATCCCAACTCTTAATGGGCTGGCCAAATAGCTCAGCAGATTAAAGCGCCTGCAAGCAGGTGCAGGGGCTGGGGGTTTGATCCCTGGATCTGCCGTGTGAGTCCGATCAAGTAGTGAGACCCTGAGCACCCTGTAGACCCTTCCCTAAAATACAAAAAATAAAAAATAAACAAAGCTGAGTAGTTTGAGTCTAAATGCAACAGGAAGAAAGGAGCCTTTCAGGTAGTTGGCAACAAGGAAGTAGAGAGGCCACAAAGCCTCTTGTGCTTCGCATATGTGGGCAGTAAGAGGAGGCCAGAGGGACTGGGTGTATGAGCAAGGGGACAGGGGCCCCAGGTGACATTGGAATGGAGGCAGGGGCCAGACCCTAAGCATCTATCTAGTGAGCTGTGTGGAAGCATGTACGTTTTATTTATTTATTTATTTATTTATTTATTTATTTATTGTATTTTTAGGACAGGGTCTACAGGATCTCACTATGTAGATTGGACTTTTAGTAAACCACCTGTGTTCAGCCTCCCAAGCACTGGGATGATATGTGTGCACCACCATTCCCAGTCACATTTACCATTTCAGCTTGCCCCTGGGGCGGGGCTGGCACAGCAAGGGGGTATTGAACCTGGGTGCTGAGTCTGCCTAAGCAGGTGCTTTAATCCTGAGCTATTTGGCCAGCCCTTGGTTTTATAGTAGGTATGTTAGGAAGCCTGTGGAAGGTAATAAACAGGAAATTACTCAATTGAAGTGCTCTCCAAGTCATTAAAAGCTATTTGAGAAGTTTTAATGACTGCTTGTATTTCATGGTTCTGTATAAACCATCAGTAATGAAATCCATTGTTGTGAAATTTGTGTCCTCCCCATCCTTTTTTGGTGCTAAGGACTGAATCCAGGGTCTCCAGGATGCTAAGCATGTATTCTGCTAGAGTTGTAGCTCCTAGCACTCCCTGCCAATTTATAATGTTACAAAAATCTAGATAATTAAATCTATAATTTTGATTGCTTTCTTAGCCTGTTTTACTACAAGTGCATTTTTTTTTGGTACTGGGAATTGAACTGAGGACTTTATGCTTGCCAGGCAGTTGCTTATGCTACTGAGGTATCTCCTGACCCTGCTACAAGTAAATTTCATAAGCAAAAAAAAAAAAAAAAAATTGGCAGGGGTTTGAGACAGGGTCTCTGTGTAGTTCTGGCTGGCCTTGAGCTCACTTTGTAGCCCAGGCTGATCTCAAACTCACAACAATCCTCCCAAGTGCTGGGATTACAGGTGTATGCCTCTACTCCCCATGGTTATAAGCAATTTTTTTTAAAAAAGAAATTTTTCGGCCAGCCCAGTCTACCCTGTGGGTGGGGCTGGCGCAGCATGTGGTGCTGGCTCCTATTATCAATTTTTAAAGCTGTCTGACACAGAAAATTCAACAGCTGTTTGTTTGTGCTTTTGTATTACAGAGTGTGTTAATGAGAGCTACTGGTTTGGGAGGGATAAAAGCTGTGACTATTGCTTTGATGAACCTCTGCTAAAGAGAACAGATAAATACAGAACGTATAGCAAGAAACACTTTCGGATTTTCAGGGTAGGTAACTGACATGCATATACTTGGGCGAACCGGCTCTTGGATATCTTTTAGCTACAAATCCCTGCTTTTAAAACTTTGAAATAAAATGTCCTCTGTTTTAGGAAGTGGGTCCTAAAAACTCTTACATCGCATACATAGAAGATCACAGTGGGAACGGAACCTTTGTAAATACAGAGCTTGTAGGGAAAGGAAAACGTCGTCCTTTGAGTAACAATTCTGAAATTGCACTTTCACTATGTAGAAATAAAGGTAATCTTGTCATTCTATGGTTACTGGGTTTTTTTTTTCTCCCTATGGTGTAAGAGGGAAAAGTTGACTTTATGTCCTGATAGAGTGGTTTCAGTGAATAAAATTAAATTACCACTTAAGAGTTAATTCTGCTGTTATGATTGCATTGTTTTGGGTTGTATTTTTTTTTATTTTTTTGGTGGAACCCGGGATTGAACTCAGGCCTTTACACTCAACAGGGAAACGCTTATTCCACTGAGCCATCTCCCCAGCACCCAAATTTTTTTTTCCTTTTTTTTGGTGGAACTGGGGATTGAACTCACGCCCTTGCGTTGCCAGGGAAGCGCTTATTCCACTGAGCCATCTCCCCAGCCCCAATTGGGTTGTATTTTTAAATGATAAAGTTCTAGTGCTAGTGAGATAGCTCAGTGGACTAAGCACTAGCTTAGGCAAGCTCAGGGACTGGGGTTGCACAGCATGGCATGTAGCGCCCACCCTGCCCATGCCTGGGTGTGGTGGCACACGCCTGTAATCCCCATGCTGGGGAGGCTGAAAACAGGAGGATCACTATGAGTCTGAGCTGCGTAGTGAGACCATGTACCAAATACATTAAAAAAAGATAAATACAGTAAAATAAAATAAATGATAAAGTTCTGTCCAGGCAGATTTTCTTAGATTTAATTGGTTTGATTTATTTTACTAAAAAGCCATATGCTATCATTTGAGTTATCATATTAGTTAAAATAAGTTTTAGTTCCTTGATACAGTTTGTATCACATCAGACTGGGCGTGGTGGCGTTCGCCTGTCATCCCAGCTCTTGGCAGGCTGTAAATAGGCGGATCACTGCGAGTCCAATCTAGTAGTGAGATCCTGAACACCCTGTAGACCCTTCCCTAAAATACAAAAAGAAAAACTAAATAAATTAAATGAATAAATATCTGCCTGCTTAAGCAAAGGCAATCAGGCTCAGGATACTGTGGTTCGATCCCCAGATCCTCATGCCTCACCAGACCTGCCCTTAAGGCATCCTGAGCCAGCTCCCCCACCAAAAAAATCCTTCAGTTTGTATCACATCAATCTGATATATGTATGAGTTGTTTTAGATTATTAATTCTTCCCGTTTCTCTTGCTCCTTTCCTTCATTTTTTTCTATTAAGTAATTTCTGCATACATATATATTAAGCTCCTTTTCATGGCAAGTGTTAGGCTGTGGGTGTTTTTGTAAGAGGTTCAGTTAGGTGGTGCTGGGGGTTGAATGTTGAGCCTTGCACATGTTAGGCAAGTGCTGCCTTTCACCTCGCCACTCCTTCAGCGATCTACCTTCTTAAACATCGTGCAGTTATGCTCTGCAAGTGGAGATGTTTGTTGTTGCCTTGCATAGTATTTTACAAACATCCACTCCTATAAACAGTGAGTATCATATCTAGAACAGTTTCAGTCAGAGCAGAGAGTAAAAGGAATAATTGACAAAAGTGAACTATAGACTTCAAAGTAGCTCACGGTAATTTTCAAATCGGTGAACAAAAGGAGTCCCATTAGTGTAGTTGCTTAATATCCTAAGGTTGGCGAATATGAACAGCAGTTATGGTATAGGTTTTCTGTACTGTGTGAGAGTATTTCCATTGAAGGATAAAATTTGGCTGCATTTCTTAAAAGTTTCCTGACATGCATTATTCTAGCTAATATAATTAAAAACAACTGCCTTATTGTAAATAACTACATTTTAGAATAAATTATCTAGTTGTATGAATTAATAACCCCATGTCTGCCCCTTTTTCTCTTAGTTTTTGTATTTTTTGATCTGACTGTAGATGATCAGTCCATTTATCCCAGGGAATTAAGAGATGAGTACATCATATCAAAAACTCTTGGAAGGTAAGTAACCTTTTTCTTTTGTATTTGGTACAGGGTCTACAAGGTCTCACTACACAGATTAGACTCGTAGTGATTCTCCTGTTTTGAGCCTCCCAAGTGCTGGTATTACAGGTGTGTGCCACCACGCCCAGTCTCAGTTGCCATTTCAGTGTGCCTGGGGGTGGGACTGGCACACAAGCTAGGGATCAAATCCCAGCCACTGCACTTTGCCTAAGCAGGTGCTTTAGTCTGCTGAGCTATCTGGCTGTCCCTGAGTAACTTTCTTTAAAAATAGAAACTATACTTTGTTCTTTTCTTCCATGTTTATTATTAGTTTTCATCCTGATTTTATGACATTCATACCACAGTTGTAGGACACTCATTGATGGTGAATACACTGTATTATTGATTTATGGTTAACTCTTTTTGCAATATACATTTTTGCTCATCATATACATTTATGTGTGTATGTATGTTTGGTTTTTTGAGACAGAATCTTGCTATGTAGCTGAGGCTGGCTTTGAATCCAAAGGGATCCTCCTGCCTCAGCCTCCTTATGTCGGGATTACACGCATGTTGCACCATGCTCAGCTCACTTTTTCAGATCAATTGTAGATTTCAGTGTTGTGAGACCTTGGGTTTAATCCCCCAGCATGAAGGGGAAAAAGTGAGTTTTCATATATTCATAGAATTCACCAACCTTCACCATAATTAGGATTTTTTTTTTTTCTCCTTTTGAGACAGGATTTTGCTTTGCAGTTCAAGCTGGACTTTAACTCACTTTGTGACCCAGTCTGACCTCAAACTGTTGGCAGTACTCCTGCCTTAGCCTCGGGTGCTGGGGTTACAGGCGTACGATATCATGCCCAGCACCATAATCAATTTTGCTACATGCGCGTTGCCATCTAAAAACACATAGTTGTTTCATTTATATGTTGCTTAGAATTTGTACCAACTTGTGAAATGAAGTAAAACTGACCATTGAATGTAACACAGAGTAAAGTTCTCTAAATTTTTAGCCTCAAAACCGCTTACCTTTTTTTTTTTTAAATGGCGGAACCGGGGATTGAACTCAGGCCCTTGCACTTTCCAGAGAAGCACTTACTCCACTGAACCATCTCCCTGGCCCCTAAAACCCCTTACATTTTTAAAAAATTATTGAAGCCAGGAACTTGGGATGTGGCTCTGTAGTAGAGTACTTGTCTAGCATGAATGAGACCTCAAGTTTGATCCCTAATATTACAATACAGTTTTTAAAATTAAAAATTTACTGAGGACTCCAAAGTGCTTTGTATTTTTTTCTTTTTTTTTTTTTTTGGTGAAACCGGGGATTGAACTCATACCCTTGCGCTTGCCAGGGAAGCACTTATTCTACTGAGCCATATCCCTGGCCCTAGTGCTTTGATTTTTAAGGTGGTTTAAATCTATTGATATTTATAGTATTTGAAATTAAAATTAAGAAAAATGTTTTTATTATTCTTTAAATTTACTACAAGTTAATAATTAAAAGTAATTATTAATGAAAGGAATTGAGGTATCCTTTTTGTACCTGAGTTATTCAAAAGGTGGCCGCAATTCAGAAGGTGTCTGGATTCTGAAATTGGATTTTTCATCCAGACATGCTTGGTAGCCTCAGAAAAATTCCACTGTAGACTCAGGAGAAAATGAGATTGAAAAAGACAAGTATGATCTTGGCAATATTCTGAAATTGGTTCTGGCTACGCTGCCCAACCAGGTTTTGAGAACTGCTGCCCTAGGAAAGGAATTCAGGATACTTTTTTTTTGTGTTGTACAATGTCTTTCATCATTTCTTTCTACTCATGAAGCCCTTTCTATTGATATATGCTGTGTGGCCAGTGGTGTTTTTGTTTTTGTTGTATGGTTCTGCGGACAGGGGTTCTCACTTGCTATGTACTCCACCAAACAACTACTTCCTGAGGTATTGATATCTGATGTTCCTCGTGATATTTTTTATAATATGAAAGTAGAAAGTAAATAGAAATAAATAACCTTTAGATGTCAACAACAAAGAAAATCAATCTCAAAGGAGGGGCAGCAAGGGCTGGGAGATGGCTCCAAGGGCCTGAGTTCAGTCCCTGGTTCCACAAAAAAAAAAAAAAAGGAGGGGGCAGCAAAGCCATCAAATAAGACATGTCTCTAAAGGAGATATACAAGTGGCCAAAGAACACAGTCATTAGTCACTCAACGAAAGGCATATGAAAACTCCATTGAGCTAACATGTCACAGTGATCCCTCCAGATGGCCATAATAAAGAGGCAGAAATTAGTAAGTATTGGTGAGGATGTGGAGACTTTGGAAGCACTATATACTGCTGGTAGGAATGTAAAATGGTACAGCCACTATGGGAAAAACGTTTGGGGGACTGGCCAAATAGCTTAGCAGATTAAAGTGCTTGCAAGCAGGCGCAGGGGCCAGGGGTTCAATCCCTGGGCCTGCCTTGCTGGCCCTGCCCTGAAGCCATGCTGAGAAGGCAAATGAGACTGGGCATGGTGTCGCGTGCCTGTAATCCCAGCTCTTGGGAGGCTATAAACAGGCGGATCACTACGAATCTGATCTAGTAGTGAGATCCTGAACACTCTGGAGACCCTTGCCTAAAAATAAAAAACAAAACAAAAAACCAAAACAGTTTGGTCTTTAAAAGTTAAGCATAGAATTAATTGTATGACCTAGAAATTTTCTTAAGTATATAGATAGCCCTGTATTGGAAATAGGTGTTCAAATAAAAAGTGGCATATGAAGGTTTATAACAGCTCCATTTATAATGATGAAGCCTTTTTCTTTTTGTTTCTTAATCTTTTATTTATTTATTTGGTACAGGGTCTTGCTATTCAGCTTGGACTTTTAGCCCCATCTCAGCTTTCCCAGTACTGGGATTACTGGGGTGTGCCACCACACCCAGTTTCAGGACTGGCATGGTGTGCCTGGGGTTGTAGGGCTGGTAGGGCATGGGGTACTGGGGATTGAACCTGGATCCTTGTGCTTGCCAGGCAGGTGCTTAGACTGCCAAACTATCTACACAGCCCTCTTTTTGTTTAAGGCTTGTGCTTTCAGTGTGATACATAAGAAACAATTCACAAAAAGTGGAAACAATTGAAATAAGTGTCCACCAAAAGATGATGGATAGTTGAGTGAGTCTGGCACATAGCCATAACCCCAGCTACTTGGGAGACTGAGCCTGGAGGATTGCAAGTTCAAGGCCAGCCTGGCCAAGTTAGCTAGATCCTATCTCAAAATAAAATAAGAGGTGAGAATGTAGCTCAGTGCTCATTGGGTTCAATCCCCAGTACAAAGCAGGGGTGTGATGGAAATAAAGTGTGATATTTCCATATAATAGAGCATTATTTAACTACAAAAAGGAATAAACTATTTGGTTCCTATGCAAGTGCCTATAGTTCCAGATACTTTGGAAGCTGAGGCAGGGCAGTTTCAAGTTTGGGTCCAGCCTGGGCAACTTAGCAAGACCTTGTCTCAGAAAAAAAAAAAGGGTGGTTGGGTGTCTGGGATTTACCTCAGTGATAGAACATTTGCATGGCATAAGTAGGGTTCTGGCCTCAATCTGCAGCAGTGCAAGGACAAAGCATGTGCACAGACACACAAAATAGAAGGAAAAAAGCCACACACACACACACGAACCAGTAAAACAAAACAAACCTTGTCTTGCAAAAGATCACAAAGTTAAGTTTTATATAGTATAATTTTAGCACAATTAAAAAATATGTCTTGGGAAAAAAGCATGTCTTGCTAAGCTCTCCACCTTACTCTCTTAAACCCTATAGTTCTCATTGTCTATTTCATGCACATCAAAATAGATGGTTAATATTATGGTAGCCTTTACCTCGGGCTGACCTAAGCTTTGGAAGAACTAGCTTATTTAGGCTTGAACCACCAGTGGTACATGCATGGCTGTCTCACTGAGTGGCTTTTTATTAATTTATTAGTAAAAAGACTGATAAAAGTCTTAGGTTCATTTGCACCACCAATGGTACAAGTGCCTTTTGGGACAGCCACACATGTGCGGCTACCCAGCAGTGAGACATGAATTATGGCCCCTTCATGAATGTGTTAAGCATGTGCGGCGTAACATCCCACATGGCATTCCTCATTCCTCCTCCATTAGTAATATCTTACTTAACTACAAATCTTTGTGAAAGGTTGCTATAAGCAAGTTACTTGGGTAATACTTTTAGATTTCATGTCAGGGGCAATCATGTCGTCAGTGGCTTATGCATTCTTCTGAAGACAGAGAATAAAAACAGAGAAATGTGCCAATGAAAATGCTTCATCTGCAAATTCTGTTTATTGTTACTTGTTTTGACCAGGAAGGAATGTTCTGGTTGATATGTCTGTGACCTCTAGGATAGGTCATTTGTCACGCACCTCAGAAATAGAATTTGGAACTGCCTCAGTGTGGTTGGATGATTCACATCCACTTACATCCCGATATTTTGCATTGTTAAGGTTTTACTGTATCCTATGATAACAAGAAAAATTAAAGTTGTCTTTAACTTATAATACTCAAGGAAGACCTGAGTGTGGTGAGTGATTAAAAACATCCTGAAAAATCCCTGTCTATGTTTTTCTTTCTAGTGGTGCTTGTGGAGAAGTAAAGCTGGCTTTCGAGAGGAAAACGTGTAAGAAAGTAGCCATAAAGATCATCAGCAAAAGGAAATTTGCTATTAGTTCTTTGAAAGAATCAGTCGTAAGTACTCATGTTTTTGGAAGCTCCGCTCTTTCTTACACTTCTTTCAACTTTTTAAAAATGTGTTTAGGACAGGATCTACAGGGTCTCAAAGTAATCCTTTCTGGGTTTTTTTTGGCGGAACCAGGGATTGAACTTAGGCCCTTGCGCTTGCCAGGGAAGCACTTATTCCACTGAGCCATCTCCCCAGCCCCTCTTACACTTCTTTATAACTTCCTCAAATGATCTTCACTGATTGTCAGTCTGAGGAAGAATTAACTGCTCAGACGCAGTAATGTGTGAGTATCAAAGAACATCAAGGGCCAGGAAGATAGCTCAGCCTGGCAAGCTCGAGGTCCTGAGTGTGATCCCCAGTACCCCCCTCAAAAGATCAAAGAACATCAAAAAGTGCTTGCTTCAGCAGCAAAGATACTAAAAAGAACACTAACAAGTTTCAAGTATTTTTAATTAATTTAGAAAATTTATAGATAATATGGGTCTAAAAATATTTGGTTGTACCTAATAATGTACGCGAAAAGGTTTCTTTTCCTCTCAGTTCCAAATTGTTACAAGACTTTTTACAATAATTAAAAGAGAAAAAATCTAACCATAATCCTGCCATTGCGACTCTACAGCTGCTTTTGGTTTTCCTTTTCTTTCTAGTCGTGGTTTGTGCAAATCTGTGTCTTGCAGTGATTGAAATCTTATTGTATGTAGAACTTGGCATTCTGCTTTTTCACATATGCTTGAGAGCATAGGCTTCCCCTCCTCCATTGCTCTTTTTGATGTTTATCTCCATTGCATCAACTTTATCATGATTTTATTTATTTGCATGAGTTATTTAAACATTTAATCAATTTCTACATTGAGGAAATGAAATTTCTTGAGGCCTAGTTGTACTGAGAAATAAAAATTTAAAAAACTAACGCAAACTTAATTTCAGCCTGTGGTAAGTATTGCACAGGGCTGGTATGTAGGCAGCAGGCCCAATACCTGCCTGGCAAGTAAGTACAAGGCCCTGAGTTCAACTTCTGGTACCAATAACAACAACAACAACAATATAAATGCTGCAGTATATTCTGAACATTTATTTTGAAAACAGTTAAAACTGTAACATCCCCAGTACCCTCAAAATGCATCACTTGGGCTTATTATACAGTTGATGATTATGTTTCTAACTTCAAGTTTTGAAGTATGAAAAGCAATGGCAAGGAATAGTAATAATCCATTAGTAACAATATATCTGTTTCCCAGGCCCTGCCTAAGGCTTTCTTTCCTGAGTCTGCCCCTTAAACTGGTGGAGATTGTCCAGAGAGCCAACATGTTAAGTCAGTTTTCTGTCACAAAATACCTGAGAAGATTGAATTAAACAGAGGAAAGATTTATTTCTGGCCCAGAGCTTCGGAGGCCTCAGTCTACAGTCACAGGCACCATTGTTTCTAGGCCTGTGGTCAGGCTTTGCCTCATGGTGGGGAGTGAGTGAGGGAGTGAAACTGCTCACCTCGTGCTCAGGAAGCAAAGGATGAGTGGGAAAGGATAGAGCCAGAGCCAAAGTATACCCTGCAAGGGCGTTCCCCCAGAGACCTATTTCAGCCATCAAATCTCTACTTCTGAAGTTTCCACCACCCCTAGTAGCCCATTAAGTAGTCACCCCTGAAAGGTACCCCTGACCATGGTTGCACTGGGGACCAAGTCTTCAAAAGATTGGCCTTTGGGGAACACTTAAGATCCAAACTGTCACCATCACTAAATTGGCTTTTCTTTTCTTTACTTTTTTTTTCTCAGAACCGGGGATTGAACTCAGATCCTTGCGCTTGCCAGGGAAGCGCTTATTCCACTGAGCCATCTCCCTAACCCTAAATTGGCTTTTCTTGTTTTCCCTGCTTCACATTCAGTTCTGAAACTGTTCACTTGAACTCTGTACAAATGCTCTGAATGATTCTGGGGGACAAATTTGTAGATACTCATGCACAAAAAGGAATGGTCCCAAGTTTTTAATAATTTACCCCACCATTTCTTCGGTTAGTCATTTAGGTAATTCCCAATGAATTACTGGATCTTTTGGATGATAGAGCAATGAATCTCAGTATTCATGGATTACAGATTTTTTTTTTTCTTTTTTATGGGATCTAGCTCAGGGCCTCAAGCATGCTATGCAAATGCTCTTACCAATGAGCTACATCCTCAGCCTTTAGTATAGATGTTTTTCAAAGTTAAGTTGTTTAAATTATTTCTATAAAGTAGTTATTAATCCTGTTTTCTGTAATCAACATTTATTGTATGGACGATGTAGCTGAATGTGTTGGTCTTTCCCCATATGGCCCAAGAAAGTAATGTAAAACATAGCCTCTAATCATATTTTCCTTTGTGGCCAGCTGTTTCTGGCTATTATACTTTAACATTCCTTAAAGATTTTTTTCCCTGAGACAATGCCATTCTCACATGGCAGGAAGAATTTCCTTTCTGTGTTCACTTTGTTATAGATCTTTTCCCCTGTGATTCTGGTTTGCTTTCCATTTTAAGAAGAAAATATCTACCAAATTAAAAAATAAAACAAAACTTAAGAGTAAAATTTTACTTCTTCACTTCACTGTATGGATCATACTGGACTCCTTATGACCTCTGTGTTTTCAGAGTCTGTACATCCTGATGTACTAACGGGTGTTAACGGCTTACAGGAAGAGGCAGGCTTTTAAAATTAAACATCTGGGGTTTCTTAGCTGAGTCCATTTTGCATGAACATGTAATTCTATATCCTCTTTGCTTGTGCAGGGTGTAGCCCGAAAAGTTGAGTTACTTGATTCATCTTTTGAAATTGTAATGAAGAGCAGTGTCAGTACCCCAAAGCTTCTTCCTTTGAGAGTCTGAGTGAACATGCTATCCTGTATTTGAAATTGGAACCTTTTACCTTTAGTCATTAGAAGTTTCACTTGACATTTTCTTCATACAGTTTAATCAAAGACCTTTTCCGTGGTGTTCACTTTACTATGTTTTTTAATGTAAATACTTCTATAGGTAATGAAGTTGAGGGAGAGTAAAACAGTGGAAACACTTCTGCTTTTGGCAGCAGAAACTGGGCTGAGTAGCTTGTCTTCTGACACTCAGTTGCCTCTTCTATAGAAAGGGGGCAATTATAGAATCTACTTCATTAGAGGATTAAGAGGGTTATGTGACATGATTCTTATATATAAAGAGCTTGGCACGGGGCCTGGCTGTTTATTGAATGCCTCTAATTTGTCAAGCATTTGCAAAGGAATTTTTCATGAATTATTTGATTCATTGACCTCTGGGTCTTTGTTTCTTTGTATGAATAGAGCCTGGTTTGAATTCCGGCAGTCTTTACTAAGTTAACTATACACATTTAAAAAATATTGTCATTATTAATAAACTGTTATTTTCTTTAGGACCCAGCTCTTAATGTTGAAACTGAAATAGAAATTTTGAAAAAACTAGACCATGTAAGTACTTGTAAAATATGATTTATATTGTAAGTTCATTTATCTCAAAATATAGGAAGTGAGTAAATTATTTCAATATGGTAGAACTAATATTAACCTGGGTTATTTTATTTTGTATCTGTAGGTGGGCATATATACATGCACCTAGCTTTGATTTAGTTTGGAAGAGTTTTACTTCAAAATATTTAGGGACAATACTACATAATTGTTTCATGATTTCATGAATAAATAATTAAATAGTATTTTTACTTAGTTCTTTTTTTGTTTTTGTTTTTTTTTTTTTGAGACCGGGTTTCATTATGTAGTCCATGCTGGCCTTGTATTAACTGTATAACCCAGCCTGACTTTGAACTTGCAGCTGATGTTCCTGCCTGGAATTACACGCATGTGCTACCATACTTGGCTTCTACAGTTTTTGACCCAAGTCTATATCGTATAGACTTCCTCAACTGATAGTGTTCATGCAGACAATTCCAGTTATAATAAATTTACATCTTGGGCTAGGGCTATAGCTCAGCAGTGCAGCTCCTGCCTAAAAGCTTGATTTCCCATATAAAAAAAATTAAATTTTAACACTTTTAAATACTTTTGAAGGGCTGACCAAATAGCTCATTGGATTAAAGTGCCTGTTTAAGCAGATGCAGAGACCAGGGTTTGATTTCCAGAATGTGTTGCTGGCCCTGCCCTTGGGGTGCGCTGAGACAGCAATTGAGACTGGGCATGGTGGCGCATGCTTGTAATCCCAGCGCTTGGAAGGCTGAAAACGTGAAAATCACTATGAGTCTGATCTGTGTAGTGAGACCCTGTAGACCCTGTGCTAAATACATAAATAAAATAATATAAAATAAATACCTTTGGCCTAGGGATATAATTTGGTGATAGATCACTCACCTAGTATATGTGAGACACAGTTTTGGTTCCCTAGCACTGTAAGCAAATAAAATGCATTTTATTTGGTATAATCTAAATAGAATCAAGGATATCTAATACGTATGGCAACAACCTTTCTTTGCATCTGATCAAACAGTGTTGGTGGCCCTGCTGGCTATAAATAATGCTTATCCTTGTGGCAGGAGGATTGCAAGTTTGAGCCCAATCTGGGCAATTTAATGACTTAGTGACACCCTATCTAAAAAGAGGAAAAAAGCTGGAGTGTAGCTCAGCGCAAAGGCTCTGGGTTCAATCCCCTCCAAGAAAAAAATTCTCATCTTTTTTGGACAGTGGTGACTTGGTCTCAGTGGAAGGCCTATCTCAATTCAAAAAAGGTGAAAATAAAAAGTTAAGGTATGGTTTGGATCTTATTTTTGTTTTTATTCTTTCAGTTTCTTAATTCATGAGTGTCTTTGAAGCTGTAAGTTTGGTAGGTTTTGTAGTTAAACTTGTAACCACTATAGATGTGTCCAATCTATGGTCTGTAATCTTCTTGCCTTTTTCTTTTTCTTTATTTTTTAAAAAATATTTTTAAAAGGGAAGTTTCATTTCTTATATATTAGGTATATTATGTGTATTTTTATGTATGGCCCAGGACAACACTTCTTAATTTAGCGCAGGCCAGGCAGGACAAAATGTTGTACAAACTCTTATAAAATGAAAATGTTGGGCTGGGGAGGTGGCTCAGTGGGATAAGTGCTTCCCTGGCAAGCGCAAGGGCCTGAGTTCAATCCCAGTTCCGCAAAAAAAAAAAAAAGAAGGAAAGAAAGAAAATGTCCCTCTTGTGGAAAAATATTGTATAGGGTCCCATTTGCCTGTGGTTCCGCTTACCTGGAGACGACGAGAGCTGCAGTCTGAGAGCAGTGACTCCATTGCATTGCTCCCCATCCTGCCTACTTCTTTATTCATACCATTTGTCAGACTTCTTCAGGGTCCTTTATGGTGCTGCCTGCTGTGGGGCAGCGAGGAGGAGAGCTGGGAAGAACCCAGACTTTGTTCTTAGTGGAAAGGTCATCCTTGTGTAGGAAATGTGATCTGGTTCCTCAACCTACATGGCAGCGTAGAATGCTTCTTGCATGTCCTCATGGAGTCAACTAAGTTCTGTTCTGCCCTGCTTGGACTTCATAGCATCCAGAGACAGGGGACAAATATCTGGCCCTAGCCTTGCTGACCCTCTGCGCAAATGTCTGAAATTCTATGGCATTAGTGTTTTTTTCTCTTGGGAGTTCTTTTTTCTCACTATTTTTCTTTTGCCTTTTTTTTTTTTTTTTAGCCTTGTATCATCAAGATTAAAAACTTTTTTGATGCAGAAGATTATTACATTGTTTTGGAATTGTAAGTAGTACATGCTTTGAATTTATGTTTCCCTTGGATTGTTAACTTATATTGGGGACCCTTAACAAATATGTACATGGTGGTGGGACCCAGTGTGTGTGTGTGTGTGTGTGTGTGTGTGTGTGTGTGTGTGTAAGAGAGAGAGAGACAATATCAATTCTAAAAACCCTCTGATGTTTCCAAAGGCAGTTAGTATGGGCTTTCAGGCCTTGCATATCAGTTCAAACTGGGTTCGAACTCCATACATGAGTAGTGGAGCACCCATTGGTGAATTATTTCACCTGTGAGCCTGGTTTTCTTCATATTGAATACAGCTATTAATGGTGTCCCATATGCAAAATCCTTGTAAGGATTAAATGCTATGGAACTGGAAAGCCCCACGAGTGCCTGGCATATGTGGGTACTCAGCCTTGACTTGATGTCTTACTCTGCAATCACCTGGCTTGATGGGTCTTTCTGCTCACAATCCTGGAAGTTTGGTCTTGTTTTATGTGCTTTGACCAAAATAGCTTCCTGTCTCATTCCTGGGAGAGGCCTGTCTCATGCCTATTTCTGCATAAATTTGCAGTATTTGTGAGAATGGTTGTTTTGGCAAGAGAGTATACTTTATTGTTGGCCAGCAAGCAGTGGTTATGGAGCTTGACCATTAAGATTACATAATTGAGCCAGTGAGATAGCTCAGCAGTCTAAAGTGCCTGTTTAGGCAAGCTTAGGCAAGCACAGGGACTGCTTTTCAATCCCTGGCACCACATACTGTGCCAGTCCCACCCTCAGGGCAGGCTGGGCCAGCCACACACACACAAAAAAAGATTACAATAAACAGTAGTCCTGACTATAGAACTAGGGCATACATGGATGGTCCTGTGGTGCCTAGGGGATGTTGCTACCAAATGCGAGACTGTTTCTTGACTGGATCCGATTACCACAGTTTAATAATGGTACAATACAATAACAGCAGCACTTGATGTGTATCGACACATTTAGCCTTCATGATAATTTTAGGTTCAGGGTGTTAATTGCAGAGTGTAGGTGTGTTACTGTTTTTAACCTTCCTTAAGGAAAAGCAAATTGAATCACAGAGGGATTGAGTAGCCTTGTTGAGCTGCTCCACCAGCCAGGTACTTTACCTACATTGACTAGCTCTTAATTTTCACACGAGGAAAAAAAAAATTCACACTAGCCATCATGGGAAGTAGCTGTCTTGGTCACTTTCTCTGTGGTGGGATGGAATATCTGACATTTATAGCTTAAAGGAAGAGACGTTTATTTTGGCTCCTGTTTGAGAAGTTTTGGTCCATGTTTATCAGGATCAAACAGCCTGGTGGAAGGGTCTTCCACAGAGGAAAGCTGCGCTTCTTGCAGTACTCAGGAAATGGAGAGGGAAGGGAGGAGCTGGGGAGAGAGCGATGCCCTCCCAGGTCAGAGCCGCCTCTAACCTGACCACATCTGCTAACAGCAACTCAGCTGTAATATCCCCATAGTTCAGTCATCTTCCAGAAGCTCCCCTCCCCTGGCACAGGAGGCTCTTGGCAGACTTCTGGATCCAAACTATAACAATGATACTATTCCCATTTCTTTTAAGCTCAGAGAGATGAAATAGCTCCCCCAGAGTCCTATACCTGGGAAGTGGTGGCGTTGGGATTCAGACCCCCCATTGCCTGATTATAAGTGCCTGATTGCTCTTCTTTGTAGCCCCCCAAATCATGTAGGGTTCATGATAAGAGTGCAGACTCTTTGCCAGGAGTGAGGGTGCTTGCCTGTAATCCCAGCAACTGAGGGAGGCTGAGGCGGGAGAATTGCAAGTTTATGTCTGCCGAAGTAATTTAGTGAGACTGTATCTCAAAAAGAGCCAAGATGGGGCTGGAGAGATAGCTCAGTGGTCTAAAGCACCTACTTAGAACAAGCTTAGCAAAGCACAGAGACCGCGGTTCAATCCCCCAGCACCACATGCCAGCCAGCCCCGCCCCTTGGTGGGCTGAGCTGGCTCCCCCCCCACTAAATAAAATGTAAAAAAAAAAAAAAAAAAAGAGCCAAAAACATGGCTCAGTGGTTGACTGCATCTGGAGTCCACCCCTAATATGAGAGAGAGAGAGAGAGAGAGAGAGAGAGAGAGAGAGAACATTTATAGGTCCTACTTCTAGTCTGATTAACTAATTAATTAATTTCATTTGGCAAGGAGTTCTAGGAATCGAATCCAGGGCCTTTCCACTAATCTACACCCTTAGCCGTTACAGTTTAGGTTTTTGAAATATGGTCTTGGGAAGTTGGTGAGTTGTCCATGCTGGGTTTAAACTTGCAGTCCTCCTGCCTCAGCTTCCCAGAGCGCTGGGGTATGCACCACCTTTCCTGGCTTGAGTTGTTTTTCAAAGCTCCCCGAAGTATCAGCAGTGCCCACTACACATTCCTTCTGTTTTCTTTCCCACTGGAACATCTGATTGTGGATGAGGTGTACTTGCCCATTAGTTTTATTTTTTTTATTTTTTAATTTGTGTGTGTGTGTGTGTGTGTGTGTGTGTGTGTGTGGCCAGCTCAGCCCACCAGGGGGCAGGGCTGGCTGGCATGTGGTGCTGGGGGATCGAACCGCGGTCCCTGTGCTTTGCTTAGCTTGTTCTAGGTAGGTGCTTTAGACCACTGAGCCATCTCACCAGCCCCGCCCATTAGTTTTAAAAATGAAAGTCAAAAGTGAATTAAAAATGTTGTCATATCATAATGAGTATTGCTTGTGTTGTTCTCTTCTTTCCAAGTGAGTTTCCCTGCCTTGCCTGTCTGTTTCAGGATGGAAGGGGGAGAGCTGTTTGACAGGGTGGTGGGCCACAAACGGCTGAAAGAAACTACCTGCAAACTCTATTTTTACCAGATGCTGTTGGCTGTTCAGGTAAGAGAAGCCCTCTATATTCCTGGGAGTTCTACTTTCTGTGATGTAAATTACTGCCTGAGTTAGGCAGAAACAGAGGGACTGGGGTTTAAAATTCAGAGAGTCTGTGTGCTTGTTGTTTTGTTCTTGGCAAAAACATCCTGCCCCTTTGACTTAGCTGACAAAGCTCTCGCTGTGCAATGAAGACACACTTCAAAAGGGAACTAAGAGCTGAGAGGCAGCAGAGTGGCGGAGTGCTTGCCCAGCATGCACCAGCTCCAGGGTTCAGTCCCCAGAACTTGTAAAAGAAGACGGCAGCGGGGAGCAGGGAGACTAAAGAAATGAACACACAGCCCCATTCTCCTCTCTTTAGTTCAGAGTTCTTTCTGTAGGTTCATTGATTTCTACACTGGCCTGATCCTTGTAGAAATCCCCATTAATTCTCAGAGTGGGAACTGGGCAGGTTTGGTGGGCTGGGCTGGCTGGGACAGGCGCTTTGCTCTTCTGTGGCAGGTGGGCAGGGCACATGCGCAGCCTTCCCTTGTGAGGGTGTCAGTGGAGGAACAGTCGGGGACAGTTTTCTTCTTGGATATCACCATTTTCCAAATCTAATTCGGGTCTGGTGATTCCCTGCCAATTTCTTCTCCTGAAAACCCACTTTGTGGGCAGCTGGGTCTCGAGTTCAGAGGTCGAGTGCTTGCCCAGAATGCTTGAAACTGTGGGTTCAATCCTGTGAACTGCAAATGTACACATGCCAGCTCCACGCAGGAAGTGCATCACTTGGGAGCAGTTCTTGGATTGAAGATTTTTCTGGAGTTTGTCCAACTGGGTTTGTCTCCTTTGAAGTTTTCCCCAAATCCATTTCCTAGTGGGAGTTTTTGGAAAGATTTTTCCTTAGCAGGGGAATATTAAAGAAGGCTGAAACTCTTGTTTTGCAGAGCAGGGGACTGAACCCAGGGACTGATCTTTGGGTATGCTGGGCAAGCATTCTACCCACAAGATATTCTAGAGGACAAAAGCCTTTTTTTTTTTTTTTTCTGATGGCAGTTGTCACCCTATCCAGTGCTTGACTCTTTTTGGCTTATTTCCTCCTTTATATCTACTGAACAACAATATGAAGATGTTGGATATGGTACACTTAAGATTCCTAACATAATATGACATGCGCAGTATATTGAGGTTTTGTGTGTGTCCTTTTTTTTCCCTACTGTTTTGAAATAGGGTTTTGCTATGTAATTCAGGCTGGCCTTGAACTTACTATGTAGCACACTTGTTTATTCCAACTTTCCTGCCTCAGCCTCCTGAGTAGTGAGAAGCACTGTGAATCTGATCTGTGTAGTGAGACCCTGTAGACCCTGTACTAAATACATAAATAAAATAAAATAAATACCTTTGGCTTAGGGATATAATTTGGTGATAGATCACTCATCTAGTATGTGTGAGACACAATAATATAGCTAACATATAAGAAATAAAACTTCCCTTTTAAGATATGTTTAAAAAAAAAGAAAAATAATTGAATAATTATTAAGGAACAAAATAATTACAGATGTGCACCATTATGCCTAGTGTTGTGTTCATTTTTATATGCTATTTCAGATTATAGATTTTTGGATAACTAGAATCAGGCTTTACATCTAAGAATAGATTAATTCTGGGTA